ATCGCGATTTTAATTTACCTTTAATGACGCGCGCTTAATTGCTTTTTAATAGTNTTCAAGGGCAATGTTTAAAAACCTCTGTCTTGAGATACCCTCTTAAAAAAAGTCAAAGGGGAGTGAGGAGGCCATTCACTGCCTTCTTGAAAAGAGATTAGTCGACCGGGGAACATCTCTGTCGAAATGGTGCGAGAATGACGGGTCTTATGGGCTGTGGCTCCATCCTGTTGAAACCAAAAGTCACTTGTATTGTATTCCTCCATTTTGGGGCACAAAAAAATTCTCCAGCATGTCGCATTATCGGTTGGAAGTCACAGTAAGTGACACCATCCTCTTCAAAAAAAAAAAAAGGGCCCTACAATGCCTACAGAGGAAAAAGCACACTAAATGGTGACTTTTGGGCTATGAAGAGATCATTGGTGGAGTTTTCAGGAGTTTCCAGCAGCCCAATAATGAAAATTCTGCTTGTTCACTGTGCCAGACAGATGAAATTGTGCTTCGTCGCAACTCCACGCAATACCACTAGGAGGCATAGCTGTAAGGATTGCACTACAACAACTCTACTCTGTCTTCCACAATCTACTGGACTCAATTCTTGAGCAATCATATTCTTGTAAAGGTGTAACTTAAGGTCACAGTGCAAAATTTGACTTATTGTTTGAGCCAATATATGGAATGCAGAGGCATGTTTCCAAGTAGAATGCATTGGAGACTGCTATATTGATGCTCTGAGTGCGGTGATGATTTCAGGTGTACTCATGGATTTGAAACGCCCAACTGGCTTTTTAGGATTTGCAGATCCCGTTGTCCTTAAATTTTGGACCCATTTCAAAATCTTTTCTGATCAGGAACACTTTCGTTTGGATTTAAACCAAATTGTGTGAGAAATGCCCTCTGAGTCACAGTCACAGACTTGGCATTTTTAAAAAAGCCTCCATGACGAAGCCCTGTTGTTCACCCGACCACAGCATGTTGACTACTGAAATAAGGAATCCAGCTATTTGTTTGGATATGACTTTTCATATATTTTTTTACATTTACTATTTTAAATTAATTCATTAGCATAGATATAAACTTCTTCATATGATAAAAAGAAAGTTGTTCCTCAACAGTTTTCATTTCCCAAAATTAACAGAAATCAACACTAATAATTTACTATTAACAATTTTTCTCCATAAAGACATAGGGAAGACCTGCTTTCACTTACATTCCTTTAGGAATGTGAATTCTTTCAAGTCTTTCTTACATCTTTATGCAGATAAAGCTATCTGAAGGATGTGCCTAATACTATTAACAATGTTAATTACAAATTAAATTGAAGGTACTTAAACCAATATACACTTTACTGGACAAGGCACCTACACCACATTTTAATGTATAACTATACTTTTTAGTTTTTGTACTTAATTTGTTATTTAATTACATACTTCAATTATTGAAAAATTATAATGTGAATCCAGTTTTAAAAGAATTAATTCTTCTTTTTTTTTTAAATTTTAATATAAAAGTAAACAGGCTGAGAATTCTGCTTTTACTTTCTACAATAACTAGATGTAACACAGTTGGGTATTTAATCTTAGTTATTCATATTGAATGTGTTGAAGACATCACATAGTACAAGCTCATTTAGTAAATGGTTTGAAAAAATGAGTTTGTATTACATAATGACCAGAACGCATTTGTGTTATTTAAATAATAAAAGATTGAACTATCTTGATACCTTATAGCAGTAGCAGATTCAGCAATTTTTTGAAGAGTTTGCAGAAAGGAAATAATTTTTACTTACAGAAGTTTTCATTGCCCAAGGCACCTGGATTTACTAGGGAAATAATCCCAGGAAGAGCATGGCAATCTCATTAATCCAACACTGTTTCAATCCCATATATGTCAGATTACAGAGACTGTACTATAATTATACATTTTCTTTATTATCACTGAATTTTGCATTTTGTTTATATGAAAAAGTACTGAAAATGCAATGAATGCACTGTACACAAATGACTTAATAACTTCTAAGATCATTATCTAACTAAATATGTATGAACAAACTATATATATTAGCAATATGTTTAATATACAAATAAATATGTTATTCCCTTTAATTTTCATTTCCTTAAATTTGTATCATTACAGGTATACCTCACCTTACATCGGTAACTGGTTCCAGGAGAGGCGACGTAAGTCGAATTTACTTGTCACTAGGCTAAACCACAAATACCATTCCCAGTTCTGTATTTTGTTTATAAATGCATTTTTAATAATATAGGATTAATAAGAATCTATTTTAAGCTTACAAACAAATAAATTTTAGTTTTTAATATAGTACAGGAAAAAGTATTCTAAATTTACGAATACATGTACGATGCATACATACTTATAAATATACATGTTTACAATAAATTGAATATCAAACTCAGCTTCTTTTAATCCTGTACACACTACACACAATCCTCTCTACATACCAGCTAATTTGAATGACCCACATGAATACAAAATGTCAGCATTTCGTGCACTCATTAGGAGAGTGTTTACTTATTGCTCCAATGTATTGGACAGGATTAAAGAGATTGACAGAATTAAGGAAGTAGCTTCAAATTTGGGTTACTGCAAAAGTACAATTGAAGGGCTAATAAAAAGTTATGAAAGAGGCAAGAAGTTAAGACCGGAACAGATCAATTTAAGATCACCAAATTTACATTTAATAAAAACTTCAGGGACATCATGAAGCAAATTTCAGACAAAAAACACTCCAAAATTGTTTACAAAAGAGGTCCTAATTTATACAGTATTCTTAGAAACGATAAGGACAAGCTTAAGAAAGAAGAAACAGCGGGTGTGTATAAAATTCCCTTTGAAAACCAACAGCTACAAATTATGAAGGACTATATTGGAGTCACTAGACGGAATTTGGCTATTAGGCTTAAAGAACACAAATACGACATTAGTAAAGGGCATTGTACCACGGTTTTGTCAAGTATGGCACAAGCGNGGTCCTAATTTATACAGTATTCTTAGAAACGATAAGGACAAGCTTAAGAAGGACTATATTGGAGTCACTAGACGGAATTTGGCTATTAGGCTTAAAGAACACAAATACGACATTAGTAAAGGGCATTGTACCACGGTTTTGTCAAGTATGGCACAGCGGAAGCTTCAGTAGTTAAATAGAATGAAGCGTCTATTCTCAAGACATTGCGGTCCCCATCATTGGCTTTGCAACATGAAAAAATTGAAATTTATAAGAGTAAATTAAGAGACGGTTGTATCAATGCAAGGGATGCTGATGGTTTAGCTTCGGCATGGAAGTTCTTTGTAGAAGATAAGTTAAAACACACAAATTCTTAGTTCATATCTGCCTTTATAATGTGATGCTTTTTGATATATATATTTTTATGAATTTAATCTTTTAGTGTTATTTNCAGTTTCCCAGTAAGGAGAAACATCATGTTGGATGGGGGCTGCATGCCCCTGCACATCTTTGAGTGCAGTACTTGACAAGAATATAAAGATAAGGTTCTTGAGCTATATGAGAGTTTTCATTTTACCCTAATTCATTTTTATGAATGACAACACTAGGTCACACAGAGCTCAGATGATTATACACATCGTTAAAGATATTCAAAAGATGGAATGAACAGCTAGGTCTCAGAACCTAAATCTGATTAAACATGACTGGAATGCTTTAGGAAGAAACATTATAGCACATCATTCCTAATAGGACCCACCATGAACTAAAATCCATACAGAGGAGTAGGGTTTATTGTCTTAAAGCCTTTGTAAACAGCGTGATGGCTCATTGAGGGTGTTGTATGTCGTCAGGGGTAGTCACACTCCCTATTAGCCTTTTCTTTCTGGAGAAGCTGCTATTTCAAATTTGGCAATACATTTGTCTCCCGAAATTTTTTGTTTTCATTTTGAACAACTAATTGATCTTGCTTGGCCTGAGGTATCCGTGTACCAAACTTCATCCCTGTCCACTAAGTACTGGTACAGTACTTTTCCAGATATCCTGTAATTTATGTTTGTTATCTTAAATGTGTACCTCAGTGTAGTTTCAAAGCATATAAATTAAAAAAAAAATCAACTAGATTTAACAGACCTTTCTGAATTTTTTTTAAAACAAACACTTGTTTAAAGATGGGAGTTTGTTAAAATTTTACAAATTTCTGCCAGAAGAGAATTTTCAGTCTTAAGAAATTTGCACAAAAAATATTTTCATGTTTTTGCTTATATATACCTTTGCAAAAAACCTTTTTGAAAATAAAATCAAAATATCAAGTATCACCGTACAATGAATATCTAGATTTTAATATTGGGTGCCACAGAATTTATCTCCTATTCTGATGATATTGTTTCGAAAAAGCTGTCACAACTTTCACATTGATTTATGCCCAAACACCAAATGGAAGATATTGGAAGTACCGTGGAAAATGCCAATATTGAGCTCTTAAAGACTAATAAATAAGATGACAACACAGAGTCACAGATGTTTTCATATTTTGTTCTCTACAATTTATGATGATTATATTAACATTTACTGTAAATGTATGTATTTTAATATGATTTTATGTTCTTTTAACACTTTTCTAGTGATATTACGATTTCAATATTTGTGACGGACAGACATAAAGTCAAATAAAATGACTTAAACTTGATTTTTATTTTTCCATATATTTTTTTGACAAATGACATATAATCGAGAACGACGTAACTTGAGGTATACCTGTATTTAAACATTTAAGAGATTTTAACCTGATGATAACCACTAAAATTGGTCAAAAATATTTAAACATGTATATAAGTTGTTTATATTTTGTTTAAATACGTAAGAATTTTTTAAGTTGAAAATTAGATACAATCTTACAAATGTATGTATGGTATTTGAAATTTACATGATGTAATTACTTTATATTATTCTCTTTTAAACTGTGTTCTAAATTAATATCTTAAAATTTAAAAAATTAATAAACTTGAAATGATCATGAATTTTAAAATTATTACTATATGCCAAGCTTGGTTTATACATAATTACAAAAATAATAAAGGATACTCAAATCTACACAAGGTGGTACAGTAAATCCAAATGATTTGCATACTGCTTTCAAATCAAGAGTGTTTACATCATAAACAGATTTCAGTTGATGAGAATCATAAGCACGAACATATGCTTTATATGCTTCTTTAGCAGCCATGTATAGATAATGATTTCTTGATATTAATTTTTCAAGCTGTAAAAATTAAAATATTCTTTAATTAAAAAAAGAAAAATATAGAGAATACAAATAATCATTAATACATTATAATTAAAAATAATCTTTTTTTTTTTTTGAAATTATTAAGAAATGATACTACTAGATTTTAATCAGACTATACTATGATTAATTAATTATAAAGATATGTAATTTGGACTGAAGATAGGAAATTAAGTATTAAATTTAATAACCAGAAATAAATAAATGTAAAATAGTTTGGAACAGGTGTCTCTAACCTATAGCTTATAGACCAAATATATGCATATCTGCAGAACTTGTTTTCAGTGGATTGATTTATCATGAACATTGAACTACACTGGTGTCCATAATTAAACAAATACATTTAGCACAATAAACTGAAAAGTTATCTGAAAATTGTGAGAAAAATAATATACAATTTTGCAAGAATTATCTTATCAATTGGAAGTGAAATATGTAATTACAAATCAAAATGAAAGGAGTTCCATAACTCTATGATTCAACTGTTTTTGAATAGTGATTGTGGGTAGAGCAATCAAATTTTGATAAAATGATACAGCATCATTGTTTAGATGACAAACTTGGGGAAGGGAAATTGGCAGAGTTGAGGCAGGCCAGTCCCAATTGGAGATAACTGGATGGTACAAGTGTCCAGAAAAGTAGTATTCATGCTATGGAAACACTTCCAAGAAAATGGAACCATAACTAGAAGAGCAGGCCAAAGTCAATCAAGATCAACAACCCCCTCATGAAGACTGTCAATTGGCTTTAATTGCCCAATGCCATAGAGAAATGACAGATAGACAATTTGCACATGAGTTTGCTACTGTCACTGGAACATTAGTATTGAGGCAAACTAACAGATAGCTAACAAAGAGCAGCTTTATGCTAGATGACCAGTGGTGTGGATCCTCCTCAACCCTTCCAACAGAGAACCCATCTTTCCTGGTGCTGTGAGCATCATCTCTAGACACAAGACCAGTAGTCCCTTGTTATATTTTCTGAGAAGTTGAGATACAGTTTGCAAACTGATTCTCAATGCATTAACATCTGGAGAGAGTATGTTGGAACACCTATCAACCCTTCAACACTAGGAAAACAACTGCAGTGGAACAGGGAAAACTATGGTTGAAGCAGTTTCCCAGTAAGGAGAAACATCATGTTGGATGGGGGCTGCATGCCCCTGCACATCTTTGAGTGCAGTACTTGACAAGAATATAAAGATAAGGTTCTTGAGCTATATGAGAGTTTTTATTTTACCCTAATTCATTTTTATGAATGACAACACTAGGTCCCACAGAGCTCAGATGATTATAGATATCGTTAAAGATATTCAAAAGATGGAATGAACAGCTAGGTCTCAGAACCTAAATCTGATTAAACATGACTGGAATGCTTTAGGAAGAAACATTATAGCACATCATTCCTAATAGGACCCACCATGAACTAAAATCCATACAGAGGAGTAGGGTTTATTGTCTTAAAGCCTTTGTAAACAGCGTGATGGCTCATTGAGGGTGTTGTATGTCGTCAGGGGTAGTCACACTCCCTATTAGCCTTTTCTTTCTGGAGAAGCTGCTATTTCAAATTTGGCAATACATTTGTCTCCCGAAATTTTTGTTTTCATTTTGAACAACTAATTGATCTTGCTTGGCCTGAGGTATCCGTGTACCAAACTTCATCCCTGTCCACTAAGTACTTGTACAGTACTTTTCCAGATATCCTATAATTTATGTTTGTTATCTTAAATGTGTACCTCAGTGTAGTTTCAAAGCATATAAATTAAAAAAAAAAAATCAACTAGATTTAACAGACCTTTCTGAATTTCTTTTAAAACAAACACTTGTTTAAAGATGGGAGTTTGTTAAAATTTTACAAATTTCTGCCAGAAGAGAATTTTCAGTCTTAAGAAATTTGCACAAAAAATATTTTCATGTTTTTGCTTATATATACCTTTGCAAAAAACCTTTTTGAAAATAAAATCAAAATATCAAGTATCACCGTACAATGAATATCTAGATTTTAATATTGGGTGCCACAGAATTTATCTCCTATTCTGATGATATTGTTTCGAAAAAGCTGTCACAACTTTCACATTGATTTATGCCCATTGTTATTCAAAAATAAAATAATAAAAAAAACCCACTAGTTTCTATGCAGATGTATTTCCAATTATGTTATCTTTGTTCAATCTTCACTTCAGACCAATTAATTTAGAAGATATAACCATACAAGTTACTTACCAAGCTGTGTAGTTACATCATCTAAATTAATTGGTCTAGAAGTAAAGATTAGACAGAGTTCAAGTAGCAAAATTTATGTTTTTAGAGAAATTTCTTCATATCTTAAAATGTAACTATACCAGATTTTTTTTCATTTGGACTGCTAAATATTTCTTTACATAGTGTTGGATAAGAATACTTTAGTTATGGTCATTGAGTGTGTATATATTCATATAAGATGATGAAATTCAAGACAGTAAAATTTACTAAGAAAGGGTAAAAAAAAAATTAAAAACCTATATAAATATGAATAACAGAGAAGTTCTCAACAAGTGTGCTGCCAACTTCTCATGGAGATGCCAAAAAATTAAAAAAATTAATTTTAAAATGTTTAATTATTTCTCTACTTTTTATTATTATTTGTATAAAAATACAGATTTTCATTTATATATACAGTGTAAGAATATCTTTGATGCAATGCTGGTTTGTTGGGTACCAAAAATTGTGTGTGTGTGACATTAACTCAAAATAATTGAAAAAACTAGGGTAAAATTTACTCACTGAAAGTTGAACATTGGCTAATTTATTCCATGAAATCTCAAACTCTTTCAAAGGTATTTTAGCAAGTTTGAGATAACGAATAAATCCCAGTTCTTCTTCTCTTAAAATCAATAAAGCATTTCCAATGCCTCTTTCACCACGAGCTGTTCTTCCAACTCTATGTATATATTCCTTTAAAACAAAAAGTTACATATAAATAATTTGTAATTTTAGTTAAATTTGCTATATTAATTGTAAATATAGACTATTATTTTAAATTTACATTAACTACATTTTCATAAATCAAAAGTTTTATATTAGCAACTAATGTTAACAAAATTGTCACTAATATATACAACATAAACTTACTTTTGGATCATCTGGTGGATCATATTGAATAATCCAGTCTACTTTAGGAATATCAAGACCTCTAGCAGCTACATCAGTACAAAGTAGAATACCACTTTCAGCATTGCAAAATTGAAAGAATGTTGTTGTTCTTTTTGATTGTCCTTGCTTCCCCTACATATCAATAGTAAATAAAAATATAATAATAATAAAGCAAAATTTTAATCATTAATGTTTTCAGCATATATTTTACCAACCTTCCTCAGGTAGAGGAAGGTTGATAATTAAAATCAAAATGTTACTGCAACTAATAAATTAGGGAGCTACACTGGGCTTTGTTTAAGCTATAATTTATAAAATTTCCTTGAAGGAAATAAAGGCATTAAAACACCCATATGACTTCCTAATTTACAGAACATATGATATCTGCCTACTGGAAATTTACACTGAAATTTATATACATGAATGCATATTTCAAAATTTGCATATGTAAATTCAGAAATTTGAAATATATAACAAAGATCATATAATATTTGAATAATAAAGATCATAAAAATTTGAATTAAACTTTGAAAACAGTAAAACTAATCCTGACTAAAATATTATTACTAAATAAAAGTATAAAGCTAAATGAGTTTTGGCCAATTCCCATGTTACCCTAGGATTTCCTTTAGCATGATAAAAAGGCCTAACCGTAAGTCAAGCAATTCTGAAGTGTTGTTAGTATGGGGAAAGTATACTCTCCTAGATAAATAAAATATGATTCCTACAGCATTGGATTATGGTGGCATCTGCTTGTAAAGGTTCATGTCTTAAAGCCTTTGTAAACAGCGTGATGGCTCATTGAGGGTGTTGTATGTCGTCAGGGGTAGTCACACTCCCTATTAGCCTTTTCTTTCTGGAGAAGCTGCTATTTCAAATTTGGCAATACATTTGTCTCCCGAAATTTTTTGTTTCAATTTTGNTCCCACCAAATGCAGAACAACACCTTTTGTTGTTAGTAATGGTTATTTTGAAGATAACTATAGAATACATTCCTGGTATATTTTGTTGTCTTTGAAAGTATACTCTCCTAGATAAATAAAATATGATTCCTACAGCATTGGATTATGGTGGCATCTGCTTGTAAAGGTTCAAAACTACCCTGCAAGATTCGTCTGGATGGTTCTGTAGTGCATCCACTATATGCAAAATCTTCCCGGTGTTCAAATAATCTACTAACAAGTATTCTGGTGTTTCCAGCAAACAACTCCAACATATGCAAACTTGGATACATTAACCCTAATTTTATAAGAATTCTATGTACTCTCAAACATTTCTGTAAGGAATAAGTATCCATGTCATTACACAAGTCTCCTAAATGATAGTTGGGTTTTTATCAACAGAATAGCCATGCTTCCTGAATACCATATACATGCAAGGTATCATGAAATTATGCCCAGATACAGGATAGTTAGGCTTGTGAATTTTGTCTCTTCCCTTGTAAACAGAGTTTAAACTGGAAATAGAGACTTTAAAACTAAAAATTAGATTGTCTAAGTTTAGCCATAGTGTACTCTGCCATTCTTGCCTGAAAATGACAAATAAGCTTCACTCAAGGTACTAGTGTTTCATTTAATAAAATTCTTTGAAATTTAACACCTATGAAGGTTTATTTACTTACTATCCTGATAATGTCAGATATCAAATACTACTGCAATAAATACTTACAATAATTTATTTCTTTGGTAAACTATTTTATCTGATCTATCTATCTTACTGATTAATAAATAAAATTCAATGTTCAAAATAGTGGTATGTATCTAGGAAAAAATGTTGACACAAATAAACACCACCTTTGTAATCCTAACAATGTATTAATTAAAATTAAGAATGTTTTTGATCAGTTTGACAGTATGACCAACCTCCTTAAGTTAACAGCAACATTAAATAAAAGAATACAATTTGAAAATAAAATGTAATGTTTGAAGTAAAATAGGAACAACAAATTTAAAACGATAAATAAAAATGAATACAATTTAACAATAATACCATACATAAATGTTTGAATTAACATGTGAACAAGAAGTTTAAACAACATAAAATCAAAAAGTGTATAAATAAAAATATAATAAAATTGCATTCTTTTACTCGATGTTGCAGTTAACTGAAGAAGGTCGGTCAAACCGATCAAAAACATTCTTAATTTTAAGAAGTACATTGCTAGGATTACAAAGGTAGTTTTTATTTGTATCAAACTTCAATGTGCATTTGTCTGAACAAAATACAAGTGGAATAATGCATCTAATAGTTACTGCATTGTAACCATTAGTCTGCAAGCTGCCACAAATATTCCAACTAGTGTTTTGTAAATTTATTTAACATAGACGTTAATAGAATAAAAATTCAATATAAATGAATACTACACACTTTTCAACTGCTGAAAAAAATAATTATTTGAAAAGACACATTATAGCATTCTACTATTATGTCATATGTATATCCTTACACCGTTATTGAGCTTGAACTTGTTTACTGTTATATCTGATATAAAATACATTCCATAAATTACATAAACAATAAATTTCCTATTAAAATAACTTAGAGAGGATACTTGGTGTTCTATGTAGAGCCTGTTTCTCAAACTCCTCTTAACACAAGTTTTATAATAACATAATCATATATTTGTTATCTTAATGAAAGTAGTTGAGCCTTGTTATACACTTTAAACTATAACCATGTTTTAGTTCTAGTTTACTAGTAGCCTTCTATATATTTGAGGATTAACTTATATGACAGGTAAAAGTCTAAAGCAAAATTTTCAGACAGAAACCTTGAGGATGATTTATACACTGACATATACAATACATAAAAACTATGAATGAAAATTTCAAATTTAAATATTATTGTATTCATAATATTTCTATAATTTTTCAACAGATTAATTATACATATATATATATATAATTTTATTTCATTACATAAATTTTCTTTATCTATTCTTACTATTACTTACATGAATAGACAAGACAGGAAGATCAATGTAATTTAAAAGATCATGATGAAATCTTACAGACATACAAGAACTAAAAAATACCATCATCTTTTTTTTCTTATTTTTTCTCAGAAATGTGAAGAGAAGAAGAAATCTCTTATCTGATGGACAAATTACATAACCCTAAAAAATACAGAAGAAATAATTGTTAATGAAAAAATTTAATACTTAAAAAATAAAAGTTTAAAATTCAAAACATTTTAGTAATTCTAAATATTTGAAATTAAGATATCTTCAAAATAACTTATTTTAACAAACAGCAAGAAATTTTGTTTTGAAAAATATGAGTATTAATAATGCAATAATAATATATTAAATTATGAATAAAAATTCTCTTTATTGGTCTTATCTCCAACTAATCCAACAATTTTTTAGAAATTAAAAGATTCTTCTTAAAACAAATAAATTAATATGATTAAACAACCTATTAATTAATTTAATTAAAAATGTATTCACAACTTTCTGCCACCTTGAAGTCAATTTTTTAATTACATTTCAGCAGAAGCTTCCTGGTTTTGAGATTATAAAAGCTTTGATTGATATCATTTCTAACTTTCTTGTGAACTTATGTATGCCCTCTAAAAAGTGCTGGAGAAATCACAAAAGATGGTGATCACTAGGAACCACATCTGGAAAGTAAGGAAGATGTAAAATTTCCTGCCCAAAGCTATTATTTTTAGATTGACTGCTGTGTGTATGAACAGGCATTAACATGGTGTAGCATTAAGTTACATTTTTTCCTATTGACCGGAGCTGATCCTTTTCAAATGAACTCTATCCTAAAACAATTCATTTGGTTAATAGTAAATAGATTCTGTTATGGCTTATTATTTTTTTATTTAGCAGTTTATAATGAATTGCTCCTTGAATATCCCACCAAATGCAGAACAACACCTTTTGTTGTTAGTAATGGTTATTTTGAAGATAACTATAGAATACATTCCTGGTATATTTTGTTGTCTTTGAAATTCCTAAGGAGGCTGTACACAGTAGGGTTCCTTCTTCAGGTGAATCTGATGTTGTCAAAAACTGCTAGATCATTACAAATCTTTCTGTTCATGGTTGTATCTAATAGTAAAATATGGTTTAATGTTTTCTTTTTTAACCTGTGGGTTTCATATTTATTAAGCTCTTGATCATGCTTGTTAGGTATCCATGCTCCCTGATGATTTATTTTATATAATTTAGCTCATTTAATCTGTCCATTATGTTGGATATGTGTGTGTATGTGTGTGTGTAAAATCTCTGTGTGCTAGATTTTTTGCACAAATCATGAGTGCATCATCAACTTATTGTGTGTTTAATACAATTTGATTTTCATATGCTTGTCTTCTAGATCACAAATTGCCAGTTCACAGATCCTGCAAGACAGGAGTAACCATATCAGTATGGTTACTCCTGTCTTGCAGGTAAGACTCCCCTTCAAATAGGAAGAAGGATGAGTGGCAAACAAGCTGCATTGGCTCAAGGATGTGAGAAAGATGTTTTTGATGATCTTGGATGTGCTTGAACATTGAACAGAAAGTCCCATAATTGTAAAAGCATGGTTTATCCATGATCTTGATCAATGGGTACAGAGACTAGAAGTCACACATTAACCAAAATGACTGTGATGTATTTTTTCACCATTATCCAAAAAGATCAACAAGGTTATAGAATATGTTACATTTTGATGATAGGTGTCAATGCTGCTGGTTATGAATTTTTAAAAGATCTCTATGTTTATTGTGAATGAGGTGGACTTATCCATTACTGGTCAAAGATGTGTTTCAGATTTGAGTTTTGCAAAAGAAAAAATTTGAGAAATGAATGAAGGAGATGTTAATCTTGTGAATACATAATTTGTGTTGTTGTTCCATACTGTTGCAACATGAAGATATATTTGTAGCAAAAAGTAGTAATCAAGTGTTTTCTATTGAGGGCTTTAAAAATTAAGAACAAAATAAAATATTTTTGAAGTTTTTTGATGTAATAGTGTGCTAGAAACATCAGAATATGAAGTGAAATACGAGATATATGACAACTCTACTCTGGATGTGCAAATCACTGACTGACAACTAAAAATTCAAAAAAACATTCTTTTTCTGAAACATATATTATGGTTTTTTTTATACATACAGTGGGTAATCAGTTAACGAACATAATCCGTTCCAAGACTTTGTTCGCTATCCAAATTGTTCGTTAACCAATTATCGATTTACCATAGGTTTTTATGGGCATTTAATTCATTCTGGAGACCCCAAAACATAAAAATACATACTTTCTTACTACATTTATTTATATGTAATAATAAAAATACATATATACACAGTCTTGCATTTTTATTAGTCATGTTTTTTCCATTTGTGGGANAAAATATATACTTTCTTACTACATTTATTTATATGTAATAATAAAAATACATATATACACAGTCTTGCATTTTTATTAGTCATGTTTTTTCCATTTGTGGGAATTAAAGAATCTGTCTAATGTCGATTGCTTTTCTCTCTTCCTCAAAGTTTTTCAGAAGTAATTAATAGCATTGTAATTGTAGAGATCCCGAAGCCTATTAATCTCACCCTGGTTTTGATGTGACTCTAAGACTACTGTTCTGACATCCTCCCAAATCTTTAAAAGATTATGCTTTTTAAATAGCAGATATTGGCATTAATCTTCTTTCTCAGAAGAAAACATATCTCGCCGAGTTTCTTGGTGTTCTTCACTCAAGAGTTCTTGGCATTCTTCTGTTGTCAGATCCATTTCAGGTTCCATTATGAACTCTTCAATGTTCTTTATTTCTCAGATGTGAATTTTGTTACTCCTTTAGCTGCTTGAGTCTTCTTGATTATATTGTATCTTTCTTAGATAAGATTGAACTGTAGCCTACTGTAGATCTGTTTAAGCCATACTGCCCAGCAATGTCAGACATCTTCTGCCCACTCTCTACATTCGCTATTATACTCTCATCTTTCAAAAATAAAAACCGATGCAAAAGTTAATGAGTGCCCTCCCAACAGTCTCGCAAATAGTATAAAAGAATTGTTTCTGTCAGAAAAATAAAAGGCTGAAATTACAAGAGAGAGTTTCGAAGTTCACAGGAATACTATTAGATCAGTATATATCAGGTTGAGCATCGATGTCGACGTCTCTCACGCTCCAAAAAGTTTTGAATTGTTGCCCAAAGACAAGGGAAGACCAATCATTATTCATTATTTTACATTGCTTCTTCTTGTGTTTGTTCTGTGAGGTGCTTTTGTCCCAACATAAAAATCTTTCACGAAAATGTTCATTATCTGATCACCCACCTTATTTTATGGGTTTTGTAACACATAAATCCAGGTGTTAGTTATCACAAATGATAAAAGGAGTATCTATGTACTGAAGAATACATATGATAAAAATATATTAGGATATATCTAACATAAAGCAAATATGAGAGTACTTACAGAACAACCTAATATTTTCTCATATCTATATCTAGAACAATGAATACAAATAATTTATATCTTCAATTAAGATTTAGAATCGAATGTTATATTAATATTTAATGTTAAATGATACATTATGATAAATTTACAGATAACCTGATAAGTTAGAAAAATTTATTATACTGTGAGATTCTGAAGACTAGGAATAAATTTATTAAATAACTCAAAAACTAAAATTTTATTTTTGCATTAAAACTGACTCATTTTTGTATGTTGATGAGAAAAGATGAGAAAAAGGAAAATCAAACTTCTGCCGTTTTGTGGCCACCTCACAGCCTGGATTTACTGTATTTTTAGGCAAAATGCCTTACTTTTAACCATCATCCCACACCCTAGTCTGAGGAGGCTTTTATGTAACGACAAGGATGCGGTTTCGATCCTAGAAAAGTCAGGCATATATTCTATTCAGTTGGAAAATCCAATGTCTGGTGCACACCCACTATATAGGGGCAACCACCAGGATGCTATCTAGCCACATAACATAGCACCAATATTCTATCGCAGAGGGCAGCTGTGACACCAAACTATCTAAGATGGTTGTGCAGCACCACCACATCCCACTTTGGGACTGTGTGGTGATGCTGAGGTGCTGTGAGGAACAGAATTTGGTGTACATTTGGGAGGCCCTCTTCACCACTCTGCTGTCTCCTTGCAACTCTTCCACCCTTGAGTTGCGTAGGATTTGGATCAGTCTAAACAACTAAAACACCTACATTAGCTCCGTTTCTATACCCCTACTTTCTCTGCACAGTAAGGTGCATGAACGATGATATTTTATTATTTTTAAACCTTTTGTTAAAAATGGCTAATTGTCATTTCTATTTCCTGCGCTGTAAGACACATGCACAATGATGTTATGCAAATTTAAATTAATACTCTAAGTTTTGTATTATGTTCTAAACAGTTAATGCTGTTCTTGTTCTTTGTGCAGGAAGGCGCATGCGCAACACTGTTACATGTATTTTAAATCTAATTCTTTATCTTTAAACTTGTTATATTCTAAGTGGCTAATGCCATTTTTGTTCCAATTTAAAAACTTGTTCGAAAACCTATTTGACTCTGGTTCTGCCTGAAGACAATGTTTATAAATACGTCAAAAGTACTTGCAGAATATTAAAATGTTTCTTTAAATGTTCTTTAACGCCTTTTTATGTGAATTTTTCTCTTGAATCACTAATAGGACTTATAATGTAGAGATAAAGTTAACTGAACTAAACTAGTTTAGTTAATCTAGTACCTCTACATTACAAATTCTTCTATCAGTAATTACAATTTTATTTTATACATTTTCTCCTTACTGTTTTAAGTTACTTTGTTTTCTTATCATTAAATAAAATGTCTGATAATTTCATATTTGTTTATGTTGTGTTCATTTCTCTCAAATCTAGTCAGTTACTTTTACATCATTGAAAATAATATAATCAAATTGAGAATAATATAATCAAAAATTTCATTTTATTTCACCTAAAATCATTGTTTGATAGGTAAATAGCATTTTAATGTTATTTATGGAACCTGAGAAGAAAGACTGGTTTATGCTAGGAGGAATTACAAATTTTGATTATAACAGAAAAACCTGTCACTACTTGTAAGATTTTGATTTATCAGAGATTTTCACAAACAACATACACTCATAAATAAGAATCACATTATACTTATATGGGTGTATTAATTTATTATCTAAACTAATATATAATTAACACTACAATGTTAACAAATGAATAATCAATCTAATAATAATAGCTATGACACAAAAAATTATTTTTATACAATGTAAAAGCAAAACTTTTTAATATACTTTTATTTACTATTTGATTTTGATTGTTTCAGTTCTATTCAAGTAATTTATATAAAATAATGTATAAAACCAAATAATCAACACATAGAGCCAAACAAACTTTTTTCTTTTCTTCCAGAACATTCTGAGTTTAAATTAATAATTTATTTATTTGTGATTATTAAATTTATCAAGAAATGGCAGCCCAACTGCATACTCTGCATACTTTATAACTGATTATTAAAATTAGCCTTTAATATAGCCTGATAATTTGACTTTGAGTAAAAAATCAGATTATAGATTGAATGTTTATACATGTAATCAACATATATTTTGATTATTTATATATCAGTTTATTTATAATAATTATAATCATAACGATTACTTGTTCTAGGCCTTCAACAGTTGCACTTTCTTTGTTTTCTTCAATACCAACATATAGTGGTTCATTATTCATGGCTACATGAATTAAATCTTCTGTTTTCTTAGTTAGAGTGGCACTGAACAGCATTGTCTGTCTTCGTTCTATAAAATTTGATAAACAGTTATATCAAAAATGCTTAAAAAAGTATTAGTGCGTATTTTTTTAAGCTAATAGTATTAACTAGAAACTTGTGAAATAAGTATTAGTACGTTATTTTAAAACATTAATATGTAGAGCAATATATATGCTACATATATATAACTTATATTTTTAAAAAAATTTGAAAATTCTATTAATTTTTTAAGAAAAAAAAAAAGACAGGAATACTTACTAGGTAAAATTTTCACAATTTGTTTCATTTCTTCTTCAAAACCAATATCCAGTATCCTATCAGCTTCATCAATAATTAGACATTGAAGATTTTTATATAAAAACTGAGTATTCTAAAACAATTAATTACTATTAGTAAAGTAAGAAAATCAAATATTTTTTGTTATAAAAACGCTAACATGTATCTTATTAATTAATTAAATATTATTAATCCAGAAATATCATTTTCTCTTGATTAAACCCCAGGTTGAAAAGCATGAGAAACATAATAAAGTACTGCACTATACAAGATAATGGTGGTGGTAGTTTAGAGTGACAGATAGAGTTTAACTAAAATTCTATTTCTTCAAACTGTCTAGAGTCAGATAGCACTTTCTATTCCTAGGTTCACAGAAACATTTTTTGAAATAAAATTATAAATATTATTGAATAGTAAGTGTGGGAAAGTGATAATGGAGCTCACAATTCAAGAGCTTATCAGCCAAAGGATAATTAGAAAAATCTTGAATTGGAAAGAGATGGTTAATTTGAACCAAAAGATGATAGTCAAGATTGTTGATTCCTACAATGACGTTAAAGCAGACATGAATGGCAATGTAATAACTGAATTCAGTTAACTATGAAAACAATAATCCAAAATATAGTCAATCCATAATTTTGATAATTTGGAAAATGTACAAGTAACTAAGTTATTTCTTTCAATTTTTACCCGTTCCTCTTCAGTTATATGTGATTTCATTTTACATAATCCTGAAAATCATTTTCAAAGTGAACAAAAAGGTCTCACCTGATTCTCTATTCATGACTTCCTATGTAACAACAGTAACTAAATTATTATATCTCCAATACTTTTGAAATGAAAAGGGTTTAAAAGACTTTTGACTCATCTTATATTTAAACCTTTTATCCAACAATTCTCTTACATCATAAATTTGCATAATTTTTATATTATCCTTCACAACTCTAATTTTTATAATATAGCTCATATGATAAATTAGTTTAAAATAATTCATGAAGTTAAGTAAGTATTTTTTGTTCAAAATTTAAATAAATAAATAATAAAAATGCAATAACTTAAAAATGAAATATATGTACTGTACATTGTTAATAACATTTTAATATAAAAAATTACCTGTAAATGATCTAATAATCTGCCAGGAGTTGCAACCAATATATTTACACCTTTTACCAATTTAGTTGCTTCTGTCTGTCTGTTAGTGCCACCCATCACAAGGCCATATGTATGCTGATGATATTTAAGAACCTCTTGAAGTACTCCATAGGTCTGCATTGAAAGTTCTCTAGTTGGAGAAATTATTATCACACAAGTTCCATTTCTTGGTTTAAATTTCAATTTATAAACCAATTCAACAGCAGGAATTAGAAATGCAAGTGTTTTCCCACTTCCAGTTTTGGCTGCTGCTACCATATCTCTAATAAGGAAAAGATAAATTAACAATCAAATTTAAAATATCAATATTAGAATTATTTTACTTAATGCAACATAATATTACTAAATTAAGACTTCAAAAGTTAATTTTATTAACTTTAGTTTTTCTTATATTAATTAGAACTAATGGTGGATGCACAAAATCAGAAAATGCTTCTTTGGTAATAAAATTAACTCCAATAACCTTAATTAACACATTGACTGCCACTTCTCTTTGAAAGAAATGCTCTCCAATGCTATTCTCAATTAGCCTTATGCAATGCTCAATTTAAAAAATTTATTCTTCAACAAAACTTGTAAAAAAAGTTTATTTTTATAAAAAGATCCTATGAGGCATAACTCATAGGGTCTTCAGAAATGATATTGTTTACTACAAGAGATATGTGGAATCGTCCACATATCTCTTGTAGTAAACAATATCATTTCTGAAGCTATATACAACTTTTCTTTATATTATGGAAAAGTAATGGAGAAATTGGTAATTTCATAGAAAGAGTTAATGATAACGAAGATGGCCTCAACCTGAAGCTAGAGCAGAAAAGTTCCCAAATGATACATTTCCTAGATATTAATATCATCTTTAGAAAAGGGCATGTATCCACTAGTGTGTTTACCAAACCAATGCATAGCCCACTACGTACCTGCACAGTCCAATGACCCATTTCGTTATAAATTAGCAGCCTTTTCATGCCTTTTCTGTATTGCGACAACGTTATAGACCGAGTTAAATAAATCGACAGGATTATGCAGATAGCAGAAGCATTAGGATACAAGAGAAACATAATTGCTGGTATTGTTAGAAAATTTGAGTTGAGCGATACAAGAGCTTCTAAACAATGTCCTACTAAATACACAAAGTTTACATTCAACAAAAGTATAGGAGGCATCATGAAGTAGATTGCGGGCATTAAAAATTTAATGTTGATCTTGAAAAGAGCTCCGAGTCTGTACAAAATCCTAAGAAATGATAAAGGGGATGTCAATAAGGATGATAAAGCAGGAGTTTATAGGATCCCTGTATGAGAACCAGCAGTTAGGGCTAAAAAAGGATTACATAGGAGTTACAATGAGAAGCCTCAGGGTAAGGATCAGAAAGCATAAATATGATGTTAGGAAAGGATCTAACACTAGGATATTGGCACAGATGGCTCCAGCCCAAGGATCCATAGTTGGATGGGAGGAAGCGGAAATCATCAGACAAGTGCACTCACCAACTTTAGCGAAAACTGCCAAAAAAATGGAAATATACAGGAGCAAGCTTGATGAAGAATGTATAAACGCCAGAGATGTGGCGGAAGTTTGCCTTGACTTGGACCTTTGCCATTAAAAAGCTTACAAGTAGCTCATAAACTGTGATATGATCTGTAACCACATTAATCGAAACTTAATAACTTGTATTTTTATGTTGTATTATTGTTGAATTAAATATTGTATTATGTTATTTATTTTTACATTTACATATTATTTACGATTTAATTCTTATTCTAAGTAGTTGATCTGTTATTGGTATTTTTGATATTCTTGAATTTTGAATGTAATGTTCCATTGTAAGCAGGGCTGTGGAGTCAGAGTCGGAGTCGCGGAGTTTTGGTGTTTTAGCTGGAGTCGGAGTCGGATGGTAAGGAAAAGTCGGAGTCGGTAGACTTTTACGCGATTCCACAACCCTGATTTTAAGATGTATTCCATATTTGTATGTTCTAACCTGAAGATGATCTATTGAATAGATCGAAAACGTTCGTTTCTAATAAACCCCTCAGCAACAAATAAGGTGTTTAGTTACTTGATTAGTTCTTTTTTTGCTGAGTACATTTCTGTCAAATTGACATAATTATCAAAATATTATCTACATATCTTTTGTGTGATTTTCATCAGAAGGAACATCTGTAAAACTTTCTTTTCCAATAGACATACAAACATTTCGCAAAGGTCACCAGAGAGGAGGCTTCTCATAGGAACTCTTCTCTTTTGTATGTATGTGTTGTTATTAAACTGGAAGAATGAGGAATAACACAATAAATGTGCCAGTTCTAGGACTTGTTGGTGGTATTTAGGTTCACTATATTTCTGAAATAACCAATTTCTAAGAACATAGAAGCACAGTTGTAGTTTAATAGATGGGTATAAAGATGCAAAGTTGAGAACTCTTATATGAGCATTATTACATAGATTGATGTGTTTCAATATTTCAATCAGCTGTATAGAATTAATCACAGTGAACTTATAATTCTTTAAATGGACAGTGAGGATATCGTGTATTGAATTTTCTAACAGGTGTGTAGGCAAGGGTGTGTAGATAGTGTGTATCGTCAACTATGGGTCTCAAGTTATAGTCTGGCTTATGAATTTTAGCAAATGTGAACAGTTTTGGAGTATCTGGAATGCAACCACAGCCCTGTCCATATATACCGTGTTCCCCGAAAATAAGACAGTGTCTTATATTAATTTTTGCTCTGAAAATTGTGCTAGGTCTTATTTTCAGGGAATGTCTTATTTTTTCCAGGAAGAAGAATTCACATTTATTATTGAACAAAAAAATTCCCAAGTCGANGAACGGTCAAAGTTTTTATTGGGATATAAGGCTAAATATGACTAATAAATAACAGGGTGGGGCATAATGGAGTCCCACATTTACAAGGTGAATTTTAAAAAAACGATACAAGAATTAGAAAAACTTATTTATTCAAAGTACACGTAATAAAGTTTTTTTTTGGTCAGGTTTTAAAAATGATGTCGTCCAAATGTTGACCTTCACGGGAGCTGTTCCTTAAAGTTTTCTTCAACTCTCACCAGCATATACGGAGGAATTTTGGCAATTTCCCCAAGAATGGCCTGCTTGAGTTTGTGTAGGGTTCGAGGGCAATGTTTAAAAACCTCTGTCTTGAGATACCCTCTTAAAAAAAGTCAAAGGGGAGTGAGGAGGCCATTCACTGCCTTCTTGAAAAGAGATTAGTCGACCGGGGAACATCTCTGTCGAAATGGTGCGAGAATGACGGGTCTTATGGGCTGTGGCTCCATCCTGTTGAAACCAAAAGTCACTTGTATTGTATTCCTCCATTTTGGGGCACAAAAAAATTCTCCAGCATGTCGCATTATCGGTTGGAAGTCACAGTAAGTGACACCATCCTCTTCAAAAAAAAAGGGCCCTACAATGCCTACAGAGGAAAAAGCACACTAAATGGTGACTTTTGGGCTATGAAGAGATCATTGGTGGAGTTTTCAGGAGTTTCCAGCAGCTCAATAATGAAAATTCTGCTTGTTCACTGTGCCAGACAGATGAAATTGTGCTTCATCGCAACTCCACACAATACCACTAGGAGGCATAGCTGTAAGGATTGCACTACAACAACTCTACTCTGTCTTCCACAATCTACTGGACTCAATTCTTGAGCAATCATATTCTTGTAAAGGTGTAACTTAAGGTCACAGTGCAAAATTTGACTTATTGTTTGAGCCAATATATGGAGTGCAGAGGCATGTTTCCAAGTAGAATGCATTGGAGACTGCTATATTGATGCTCTGAGTGCGGTGATGATTTCAGGTGTACTCATGGATTTGAAACGCCCAACTGGCTTTTTAGGATTTGCAGATCCCGTTGTCCTTAAATTTTGGACCCATTTCAAAATCTTTTCTGATCGGGAACACTTTCGTTTGGATTTAAACCAAATCGTGTGAGAAATGCCCTCTGAGTCACAGTCANATTCAGCAAAATCTGTGCTAGGTCTTATTTTCGGGGAAACACGGTAGTTAACCTTTTAGCAAGAGCTGTCCCCATAACTCTGATGACTCTTGTTTGTAGCTTGTCCACATATCCTTCATCTATTGCAGTGTTTCTCAACCTGTAACGAATTGTCGCTCCCTTCACTTCAAAATTCCAATGCCAAGGGCCAAGGCTAACGCCAAATTTGTACTGCATTAAATAGACTAGTGACTAGTACAGTACAATGTTATTTGTTTAATTATTGTACGATATAATGAATAAAATATCTAATTATTCTTAATATAATGTTTTACTATATTGCCCAGAAAATTGTTTTTTGCCCCCCAAAATATAAATTGTTACTAATTGCCACCTCAACATGGAAAAATGCCCACATGGGGGCAATATCACCCCCATTGGGAAACACTGATCTATTGGATAACTTTCTGCATCAATGATGTATTGGTCTAGAAGTGTGTTGCAAGTGTGCTTTTATAGCACTACCAAAGATTTGCACTTATCTGCTTTTAAAAGGGTGATATGATTATTACTCATCCATTTTTTGCTTTGTCCTACCAAATTAAATCCTACCAAGCCTTTTATGATGACAAGTTATCAACTAGGATGTAAAGTGATACCAGTGGTCGACAACCATTATGTAACGAATGTGTTTGCGCACAAGATAATTTTCTAGGATAAAATTTGAATGCATCACACTACAAAAAATTTTATTTGTAACTAGCAGATAAACCTGGCATTGCTTAGGCAAAAAGTAACAATAGTGAAGATTAAGATTACAGTAGATCCCCTATAAGACGGGTTCCTATAATTACGATTCCTATAAGACAGCAAAAAAATTGTGGCGGTATCCGTAAACAATGGTAAAAAAACTCCTATAATTACGTAAAATGTCACCGGGCAGCCAAACTACTTTCTGCCGTCCAGCGCCACGATACGGACAGTTTAGGCGGGTAANAAAATGTTCGCCTGTTGGTACATCCATTTTCAGAATACCAGCCGAACTGCGCGTTTCATACATTTTTCTGGTATGGATTTAAAGCGTAATGATTTAATATTTTTTCCCATTTAAATATATCAAATACAGTGACGTAGCGTAGCGGGGGCGGCAGGGGTGACAAAATTTTACAATAAATAATAATAATATCTCTCCTTAAGCCCCAATCCCGAGATATCTCGGGCGAGTTACATAAAATGCGGTCATTTGAATTCTTTTTTTGAATTTTTGGAATGTTTTTGTCTCCAAATTTTTTTCCCGCCAGAAAAAG